TGTTATTTCATGTAAATGTTCCTAAGGGATTTTGGCTAAACACGTTTGGAATTGCTACTTGGCTTATCAACAAACTATCCTCTAGTGTGTTAAATACAGTGAGTCTAATTGAAAAATTAACTAGACAAAAACCGTATTAGAGTTGTCTAAAAGTATTTGGGTCAAGATGCTTTCCTTATTTTTGTCACTATACCAAAAATAAATTTGATCCAAAATCATTACCCTGCATATTTTTGGGTTATAGTGATTTTATAAAGGTTATTGTTGCTACTATCAACTAGTTGGGTTTATCTTTCTCATATGTAATTTTTTTATGAGAATACATTTCCATTTAAGGAACCAAGTGATTTTATTCTGACTACAAATTGTATAAATGCTATTGATGCTATTGTTAGTAAATGGTTTGCAAGAGACAAAAGTTCAAATTCAACATTGTAGGTGTCATAATATATAGATCCGAAAATCTATAACTAGACTTAATAAGATGAGTCATTACCAATCTTTTATCTAGATGTGATTGACCATCTAATAAATCTATCGTTTTAGAAAATTCCTAAACTTGACTAAGGATCCTTAAAGAATAAGTTCTGAACTTCTAAATAGAAATAGGTTCAAAAGTTTGATTACGTGTGGAGAAAGTTATAGCACCCCCACAACGTCCATCCTAAAATAGTACCATTTAATTTTGAATTATCCTAATAATTATCTTGGTTCTGAGATTTCTTATCAATTTGAAAGAATTCTTAAAAATATTTTTTCACCTCAAAAGTATTCAAGAATCTCATTTGTTTTCTTGAAGAGCCACCGTCATCGAAAAAATGTTTAACCATTTTTATTTTGATTTTTTATTGAAAATATATCTAATTATTCTACTATTTGGGCTAAATTAGAAATATCTTTTCACCTAAAATTTTTTTAGATAATTAACCATTTACGATTACTAAGAATTTCACCATCGAGATTTTTTTTAATTTTTATTTCTAAACTTTCCACCATTTGGGTTTATTTAAAATTTTTTTTTTGTTTTTTATCTTTGAAAAGAAAATAATATGGCAATTATTTTTTGAAGCTTAATTTAAATTCTTTCACCATTTGGGACAAATTTAAAGAAATTTTTCACCTAGAGATTTCTTAAAAAATTTACCTTTTGAAATTTTTAAGATCTCCATCATTGGATAATTATCAAATATTTTTCATCAATTTTTTTTTATATTTGAAAAAGAATACAATTATTTTTATTGAAATTTCATCTAAATTATTTCACAATTTGGGATAAATTTAGAGAAATTTCTCACTTAAAGATTTCTTAAAAAATTTACCATTTAAAATTTTTAAAAATCTCATCATTGGGTAATTAGTATTTAATTCCAAAATTTTTATTAAATTTTATTTTTTTATTTTTTTAAATTAAAAATACATATTAATTGTTGTTATTAAAACTTTATTTAAATTATTCTATCATTTGAAATAAATTTTAAAAAAAAAAATTACCTAAGAATTTCTTAAGAATTCAACTATTCATATTTTTTTAAACTTTCATTCATTGGAATTATGATAACTTATTTTTAGTAATTTAAAAATTTTATTTTATTTATTATTATCTTTTATTAATATTAAATAATGAAAATTATAAAACAAAGTGAATAAATAAACAATTATGTATAAAACAATGAATAAATAAATAATTAAAGAATAAAAAAATAAAAAGTATCATTTTTGGATATTATGCACATGGGCCCTTTAGCGCTAGCTTATCAACTAACTTTTCTCTTTATTTCCCTTCTCTATCAGACCCCGACAACTTTGATTCTTCTTCTTCAAACAGAACCCAAATGGAACCACCAAAATTGACACTATGATTGTTTGGAATTGGTTTCTTTGCCGATGGTAATTCGTGTTCAATGGTTTAGGCATTCTGGTCAATAGTGGCACTGGGCTGACTGTCGGTGGAAGTTGGTTGGCGATAGCCTGACGGTGCTGTTCGTGGGGAATGGTAACAATGGAAGAATGCTTTCAATTGAGGCTGCAGGCTGAGGATGATTTCGATTTGGCAATGGACAATGAGGTGTTGGCGAACAAGCGGTTCTCAAAGAAGGATATATCTCGATTAACACTTACTGCCGTTCCCCTTATTATGCTACACTTCTCTTTTTTTCTAATGATTATTTTCTCTCCTAGTCACATATAGGAATTTAATATCCAATTAACTTTAAACAAATAAGAACTTAACGTCAAGTTAACTTTAAAAGTTATGCATTATCCTTAAAATTTTATCAAAACCTTAGCCTAAGCCTTTATCTCTTTTTTTTTTTTTTTTTTTCTAAATTCGGTCTCTTTTTTTTTTTTTTTTTAACGAGATAACAATAATAAATCAAAACAAAATAAATAATGAAGAGATCAATAAAAAAAAAAAAAATCAGTACCGGACCAAATAGTAGGACCCATCCACTAAGGAAACAAAGTCACATATAAATCACGGGTGTCCTAAGGAATCTAATGATGCAATACCCAAGTCGTCCCATCTTTCCACATTTTAAATGATGGTGCGGATACAATTCTATTGGAGCAACACGATAATGAGCTCATACTTCACAAGCTTTATGCATTGACCAATTGCTAAGGTTAACGTTCCAAAAACAAATTCTAGCAACAATTTCGCATCTACCGCCTCTTTCCAAGAAGAAGCGAATATTATGCTAGTCTAGATTTCTCATCCTATGATAACTCGCTCAAAGGCTAGTATTGTCAAAAATAATCCCAAATATGCTTTTTTGTCTAGTGCGTTACTAATAGAGCCAAAAACAATAAAGACAGCACTTAAACATCAGGGTTCGATGCAAGAAGAATTAATTGCTCTTCATGACAGCTGTACTTGGGATCTTGTTCCAGAAATACCTTTAATGAATGTTGTAGAAAGTAAATGGGTGTACAAGACAAAATTTAAGTCAGACGGTTCCGTTGAATGACCTAAAGACTTGTTGCTAAAGGATTTAATCAAATCTCCAAAGTTGATTTTATCAAGACATTTTCTCCTGTGATTATGCCAGCAACTATCTGAATTGTTCTTTCTTTTTGCTAATTCTAACAATTGGGATATTAGACAGCTAGACGTTAAAAATCTTTTCTTCATAGGCTTTTCTCTGAACCTGTCTTCATTGAACAACCTCCAGGGTTCAAGGATCCACTCATGCCTAATCATGTCTGTAAATTGAAGCGTGATTTATATGATATTCACCAAGCACCAAGAGCATGGTTTGACAGATTTAGTGATTGCCTGATTATGTGAGGATTCTTTTGTAGCACTGCCGACTCATTCTTATTTGTGCAACGACATGCTAGAGGTACAATTATTCTTTTATTTTATGTGAATAATATAATATTAACAAGAGATATTCCATATTTTTTGCATAACTTTATGATGCAATTGCAAAATGAATTTGTCATGAAAGATTTGGATCCATTGCATTACTTTTTTTGTATTGAAGTCAACAAATTTTCTGGAGGACTTCACCTATGTCAATGTAAATATGCTCAAGATCTTCTTGTAAGGACTCACAGGGACTCATGTAAGTCCATTTCAACACCTATGATTGCTAAACCACATAGTCACTCTCATGATGATACTTTGTTCTTAGATCCACAAAAGCATATTTTGTTCTCAGATCGAAACAGGTATATGTGTTGTTGGCAGCTTGCAATATTTGACTTTCACATGACCGAATATTTCCTTTAGTGTAAATTATGTCTGTCAGTTCACGCATAATCCTACCAATCATCACTTCCGTTTGGTCAAACGAATTGATTATGGAATACGAATTCTCGCACAATTCTCTCTCCAGTTGTACGCCTTTTCAGATTCAGATTGAGGAGTTTGTCCTTTTACTCGAAGATCAACCACAAGATTTTGCACTTTTTTTAGGTAGCAACCTTATTTCTTGGAATGCCAAGAAACAACTGACTGTTGCTCGCTCCAGTGCTGAGGCTGAATGCCGATCTCTATCTTCCACAGCTGAAGAAATCACTTGGCTGTCATTTACTTTACGAGATATTGGCGTACACGTTAATCAACCTCCCACCTTGTTTTGTGACAGTATGTCCACTTTGCATCTCACTTTCAACCCTATGTTTCATATGGAAAGGTCAAACACATTGAAATAGATTATCATTTTGTGCGGGAAAAGGTGGCTCTTGAATCTCTTGTTACACAATTTATTCTTTTAGAACACCGAGTTACAAATATACTCACAAAACCATTATCTCGTCCGTTTTTCATCCATCATGTGTCTAATTAGGTTTTTGGCCTTGCCAAAAGCTCCCAACCTAGTTTGAGGGGGAATGTAGAGTTATTATTATGGTCAATATGACTGTTTGTGTATATTTATTTTTTGATCAATATAACCGTTGATGTATATTTTGAATACATTTCTCTTGTATATAAAAAACTCCGTTGATGAAATGTAAACAGTACCAAAAAAAGAAAAGGAAGGTTGGTGATTGATCAATACATTATATATTCTAAATTTTTGCAAACAATTTAAAATTTAATCATATTCATATCATATCTTTAACAAGAACCTGAATAAAAACAAAAACAAAAAAAAGGGAAAAAAGAACATATATTTTTCCTCTAAAAGTGCATCTTGATAAAAGAAAAAAAAAATGCTTTAAACTTTTTCCAGATTCATGAAAAAAGAACACTTTTTTCTAGATTGAAACATAATAAGGGTCAAAGAAGGTGATAGTTTAAAAATAGAAGAGTGGATTATAAGAATTTCAACTTCAAACCTGCCAAATGACTATAAATAAACACTTTTCTAATAATAATAATAATAATAATAATAATAACAGTCGGATGACTAGAACATCACTGAAAATACAGCAATTTAGTGGTAGAGTGATAAACAATATCGATCATCCCCTTCAATAATGAAACTTACAGAAAGCAGCATGCAACTGCCTAAATACCAAAGAAATTAGTCATGGTTTTGTTCCAATGTCATTTAACACAGAATGGCAGATCCGACTGACAAGATAATCCCTGAAAATACAGCAGATAACAAAGTAACAGAATATGAAATTTTGGCCTTGTCCTTCCTGATTATCATCCCTTCAATAACTGCATAATTTGTGATTAATATGTAAAATGAGAGAAAGATTTGTACAGCCATCTCTTTCCAGTGATCTCCATTATCCAAGACCATAATTCTAACAACACCTCCAACAAATGATGCAATGTTCACTAGAATTATTGTAACCAATGGGGCAAGATACATGGTTGCCGCCTGGAAATCAAATATTCCCATCTCATATCGCTTAACTTGTTCACCATCAGTAACTTTATTGGTGGGCACGAAACTGGCTTCCCTCAAGCCAAGCTTATTCAGAATTGCATCCAAGCTTCCATAGGAATAACATGTGACTGATTTTATCATCCATATCCTCCATTCATTTTTCCATGTTCGAATTTGCCCTCCAGTTATGAGAATCTCGTATAAATGTTTTGAAAGAGCAGATATGAAAATGAACAAAAATATGCTGAAATTTGGATCTGAAACCTGTGCGACCAAACATAAAGATTAGTAATGATTAAAACATGCGGGATTGATATATATATATATATATATATATATATTTGATACTTCAATTTCATTAAATTTTGTCATTATATTTCATTTTATTAATTTTTAAATAAAAGCAACGGAATTTTTAAAAAATTGTCACTTTCATTAATCGAATTTCATAAAATATTCTAATTCCATTACTTTTGTCCCAAAATCATCAAGGTTGAAAGTATAATGATAAAATTCATGAAATTAAAGTATAATGACAAAAAAATTGAATCCTGATATACTGATAATTTTACTTTAATATCAAAATCTATAAACAAAGAGTTAGTACTTGTCATTTTAAAAAAAATACCCTTCAATTTTTTCACTTTACCTCTGGGTACAATGGAATGCCATTCAATAGACAGAGTTGAGGGATAAGAGCAAAGCCCCAAAGAGGCAGGCTAGAAAGAAGAGGCAAAAATGCAAGTTCTGTATAGCACATGAGCTGAAGCAAAGACATCCTTAGAGGTCCATAAATGAGAGGGCAAAACCTAGAGATAGCAACTTGAACCAATCCAGATGTCCATCTTGTCCACTGAATTGATAGTTCATTGAAGTTTGAGGTACAAGTTCCCAAGAATTGTGGTCTTGGTGGATCAAGATAGACAGATTTCCATCCATTGCGGTGTAGAGTAAATCCCGTAAAATAATCTTCCACTACACAAAAGTACATAATACCCACCTGCAAATGAGATTAATTATACGTATGATATTTTTTTGGTATTGGCCAATAGTCATATGATCTGTTGCTTGAATATTTGGCTTTTAATTTCAATGATCAGATTCAAAAACTAAAATTGTTAAATACCAAAAAAATTTTCTTGTGTTACTAAAATTCAAAAAAAACAATTTATTGTTGGTGTACTTACCTTTGTACCCCATGTTGTCTGATTTTCATAGGAGCAAGAGGCTAAAACTTTCACCTCTTCCAGCAACATGCTTGAAGATTCCCTACCATTGAGTAAAGTAGGGTTATAGTGTTGACAAAGCGTTTTGATGAACTCGTTGGATTCACCAAAAGATCTCTTAAGTACCGAAAGGTCTATACCTGTTATTTCCACATTATTAACAAGAGTTATTGACACTTTTATTATTTTGATTTCAGCTAATTTTATAATTAGGTAGAACATATGCTACAATTAGTTCAGTCCCAATAAATCAACTAACCTTCTTGCGTACTAAAACTGCCCAATAATGCTTCCCTCTTTATATAAAAGTTTGTACCAGACACAACTGGTCCGTCCAGGCCATCAAGACCGTGCCATTGTATCTGAAGTCAGAAAAAAAACGAAACATTCATCTACTCATTCTGATCAAAAGTTCAACTTGTTTCTCCATAAATATATATATATATATATATATTTCACGAAGCCATTTGCAGTTACCTACCTTGAATATAGATCGAATTTGGCTGTCGTAGATATCGTCTTTACTAATGTTCCTGAACTTTTGAGGGAATTGCACAAATGCCAGAGAAGGGGATATCTCAGGATCACAGTGATAACACATTGCTTGCCTAGCTGAAGTTGGGTCATTGCAGTACATGTCACAGTCAAGCACCAGAATGTATGGAGAATTGCTCATCATCGCTGAGACCCGAAGCTGGCAATGGCAGTAACACAAGCCTTTAACTTGTTAGCAGAAAATGAATACATATACAAGAACATAAGAACTAGAGAGAATAGTGTCATTACAAGGACGTTGAGGGCTCCAGCCTTGAAATTATGATGATGAGAAGGCCTTTTCTCACGAGCAACATAGACAAGGAGAGGCATTTTAACTTCATCTTGTTGCAGTTCCCTATTGGGATACTCTTGTATAACCTACAAAAAAATGGATCACGTACGATATTAATTAGATTATAGTATTTTTATAGAGTATTTTTTTTCTTTATTTTGATCTAACTAATTTCTAGACAAATCACTAAATTAATCTACATAATTAAATGAACCTAACATAAAGTTAGATCAAACACACATGATAAAATTTAAATCTCAAATCTATAGGTTTCAAACATCTTTTTTGCCTCTAAATCAATATCCAATTGACACGTTTATTAGGTTCAGATAATGAAGGGAATATATATTCCTATAAATGTTTTAACCATGTTTAATCATAAATGTGAAAGTTGTGCATTTAAACATTTAATTCAATGATAATTGAATGTATCTAATCTTTATTTAAAATAGAACTGGCTTCAATTTTTTTTTCTTTCAAATCGTGAACGAAATGTGGAACAAAAAATCACGTGTTTCCTGCACGTACGTTGTTATCCCTAAAAAGGGTTTTTTAGCTGTCAATAGTACTGACTTATTTGCTCTCACATCTTTGAGAATTCTCTACTAAGCTATTGTTTTTGGACATGTTCAAATATAATATTATTGTTAAATTTGTCAGACAAGTTAGTGTACATTATAGATATAGTAATTAAATTATCATCCTGTCTTTTTCACTTCACTTCAGACAAATATATATGCAACATAGGGTCATTGCCATCAAACCCATCTGTGGCATTAGTTCAGCAAAAAGTATGAGTTTGATGCACCTCTTCTCTTTTAATTTCTCAACTTACCACCTGGCAAGTAATTGATTTTTGTCGCAATATTCAACTGAAATCATTTTCCAGAGATGTTAACATGATGTATTGTGGAGTATGCATACATAATTTAATTTCCAGGTATTCAAGTTGTTGATACAAAGATTGTGATAATTTAAAGGACGTTTCATTTAAGAAATGATACCTTCAGCCTTACTGACTACTTGGATTTTGAGTGTGTTAGAGATGAAGGCAAATTGTTCTATTTATCATGTCAAGAAGAACTTGGCGTCTTGTTATAGTCAGTAAGATAATGGCGTCTTGTTCTAGTCTTAAGAAACAGAGTGAGATAACAACCGTTTTCGTTAACAATATTCCACCAATCGTTAATTGGAAATGGTTATGGCGAGTTTTTTATAATCATGGTAAAGTGGTGGATGTGTTTATGCCAGGAAAAGGAGTATAGGTGGTAGAGTTTTTGGCTTTGTACTCTTTGCTGATAGAGAAGGAGTTGAAAGAGCTATTGATATGCTCAATGGAACTCGGTTAATGGACTTTAGAATTGGTGTTAACTTGGCAAGGTTCAATAGCAGAGTAGGTTATTGGAGAAAGGCTGGTATACATAGAAACCAAAGGATAGAGGGGATGAGGTTTAGAGAAAGCAAAGAGATATAGAAAGAAAGGGTAACAAATCAGGAAAGGATAATGGGAACTGAGTCTCAAGGGACAAAAAGATCTTAACTTCAGGCTAGGAGGAAAGGCATCAGATCCTTATAAAATAATCAATAAGGGTGAGTGTTCGAGGAAGGGCATGGAGTGCATTGGAATAATGGAGGATGAAGCAGCTCTTAGGCTTGAGAACTGCTTAGTGGGAACGGCCAAGGGTATTACGAAGCTTATAGACTGACGGAGAATTTCAAGATGAACGGGGTCTTCGACATTTCTGGCGAAAAGATTTTCGGTTGTTAGTTTCTTATTGAGTTTGAGGACATGGATACAATGACGACAATGAAAAAGCTTGGATGGTCGTGGTTGAAGGAATGGTACGTGGAGATATAAGAATGGTCTGAAAATTTTCAAATGAAATATCGTGTAACTTCAATTACATGCTTTGGAGTTCCCCTGCATGTATGGAATTATTCCACGTTCAAAAATGTGGCAAATGTCTGGGGCGAACTGGTGAGCTTGGATTGCAAGACATTGCAATTCCAAGACTTTAGCAGGGGTGCAATGATGATTATGACAGACCAAATGGAGAGAATAAATGATAATATCATGCTTAATTGCAATGGAAAATTCTGTCAAGTCTTGGTGACAGAAATTGGAGATGAATATGTTTCTCTTTTCCATTGCTCTTGCAATAATCATAAAGATAATGAAGCTGAGAATAAAACTTATGATCAAATAGAGTATAGTTCCTATGAGAGCTCAGCTGAGAAGGAAGACGAACTGTCCCGTGGAGCAGAAGATGGGAAGGTTAGGGATGACAGAGTAAATGAGACAGTTAGGGAGGTTGTGACAGAGACCGAGAAATTAATCTTAGGAATTGATCATTTCAATGGGATAAAAGAGAACGCAGGTAGTGACAGACTGAAAGGTGGCTGTAACTTTGATCTCTCATTGGCTAAGGAAACGGTAAGCCAAAATAGTGGAAGAGAACATGTGGGGGAGTCAATGGAGATAATGATGATTGAAGATGGGTTGCTGGTCTGTGAAGAGGAGTTCAATAAGGTAAGAAGCCCATTGAACCAACATGAAGAAGACCAAGTGGGTGATCTTATTATGGGACTAGGAAAGAATGGTGGTTATCAAACCTGAGTCAATGGGTTGACGCCTGAGGCAGGTGGAGATAAGGAAAAAACACTTTCGTGTGAGGAAGATAGGGATGTTGGTTTTGATACTACCAACCTAGGTTCCAGAAAAGAAGGGCGGAGGAAGAACAAGAAAACTAGGAGTTTGGAGGATATAGAGGAGGCTATTCTCCTCAAATTACCAAGCTGTAGGAAAAAACGTGGAAATAAAATTAAAACAAACAAGAGAGCTACAGGGCAGAAACATAAAGAAAGGGTTATTGCGAACGATTCGCTATCAGAGGGGGACTTCCGTAACAGAGGCAGAATCCTAAGTAAAGAAGAGGCAAAGTCGACATTGGAAGTAGGCAAAATGTTGGGAATGGTTTCAAGTTGTGGTGATGAACAGGTTATCGAAAAACTAGAAAAATTGATAGAGGCAGAGCATAAATTATCTTGACGTCATAGTAACTGGTAACTATTCGTTCAAAATTTTTTTATTCGTTTGGGTGTTTGTTTTATTTTATGGAATTTGAGGGTGTGAAATTGATTAATAATTTGTGGAGAGAGGTGAGAATGAAAGTGTTGTCCTGGAACATTAGAGTTATAGCTTAGTGTGGGTTTCCGTGAAATATGGTCAAATGTTATAAAGTTAATTCTCATTGGAAAGGAAGGAGTAAGTGTGTAATGCAAATGGAATCTCTGATGTCAATGCTGTAGTAGACACGGAATGGGTGGAAGTGTTTAACGAGTTGTGCCAGAGGGGGTTGAAGAGAACGATATCCGATCATTGTCCACTATTGATTTCTGTTGAAGCTGTGGATTAAAGCTCCAACTTATTTTGCTTTGTCGATTGCTAGCTGACTAAAGGGGACATTATGAAATCAACAGGCGATGAATGGAGAAATTTGTGGTGCTGGGTGGACCAAAATCATGTTTAAAAAAAAAAAAAAGGATGAGTAAGCTAAAAGACTTTTTAAGGGGATCGAATAGAGAAATGTTTGGGCTACGAATCGGATTTACTGTCAACTTAGATACAATAGGAGGAAAGAAGCAAGGATTGGAAACTCTAGTCTGTGTTAACGCAAATTGACTATGGATAGGGGAACGCCTGTTACCTTTGCCGTTCTGGCTAATTACTAGTATTAATAAAAGCTTGACTCAGGGAAAAAAAATTTTAAGAAATAATAAATACTCCACTTGATTATAAGTCACAATCTAATTTTTTTTATTATTATTAAGGATGTGAGATGTTCCTTATATAAGACGAAAGATATTAGAATCACGTAACCAAATTATATTAGATTTTATAGTTTATGTACTTATATTATGTATGTTTATCTTATCAAATATGTATAAAATATAAATAATATTATGTAACAATTTTTATCAGCACATTAAATACAAAATATATTTTATTTTTTTTGTTAAATTTATATATAATTTTTATTAAAATTTTAAATTATATTACTTTTATATTTTTTATATTATTTTTATATTGTGTCATTATATCACAATTAAAATTATCTTAAACTATAATTTATATATCAACATCTTACTGATTTAGTCGGATCTTATCTGTTTTGGAGTTATTATAGTTTGATTAAAAAATTAATCATTGAGGTTAAGTGGAAGGAGTCAGTTTCGAAGGGTTTAATCAATGAAAAGGGGAGAGGTTTCCCACGAAATGAGAAATGCAGTGATGTGGCAACGAGTAAATACCTCAATCACAGATGGATGATCACTTCTATTGTTAATGGCAGCAGCTGCTTCTGCCATCTTACAATGTTTTTCTCCAACTCTCCTTACCCTTTCCTTGAACATCTCATATTTTTCCTGACAAAAAAAAAACAAAAAAACCCTCATATTTATCGATTATGTTTAATTATAAGTGACACATAAACATAAAAGTTTTTCTTTTCTGAGTACATATACAACAGTTTTTTGGCTTACATAGATGAAGTATAATTTATATTCAGTTCATGGTCAGAATATCAATAACTTTGTATTTAATAAAATATATTTCTTTTGTCTTTTTAAATATTATTTTGTCTTTAGATTTTAATAAAATAACATTCTACCAATATAATATAAGATAGGAGTTCAAATCTCATTATCCTTATTATAAAAAATTATATATTATTTTATTTACATTTTTTTAACTGTCCCCAAAAATAAAGTATAATTTTTTTAATCCATAAGATTGAATTTATATGTCTTATTATATATTTAAAAATTATATTAATAATTTAAATTATATAAACTTTAAGAATAAATAATTTTGACTAATAAATAAATTATCTTAAAAAATTCTTGTGCTCATCAAACACGGATGATATTATCATATTATTTTATCTTATCTTATTATAATCTTGTATGTCAAATACATTTCAAGTTCAAAACATATGAATATATAATTATACCAATAGATTTCATGTTTAAGAAAGTTAAGATAGAGTAGTAGTAATCAAATTACCTCCATCTTTTGCCTCTCTGCCATGAACTTAGAACAATTAAAGTCGCCATGGTTATTTTGAGATCCTGAAAAATAAGCCTCAGGGCACCTAGTTTTGATACCATACATCCTACAAAATGGAAGCCACGACCTAGCAAAGATCCAAGCCTCCTTGATACCACCCAAAGTTACAGCAGAACCACCATCATCCGAAAGATACACATGAAGCTTTTCTGGTGGATAATCTAGCGCCATAGCTGATATCACAGTGTTCATAACCTCCACAGTCGGCTCCTTGTTTGGATCCGCGGTGCAAATAAACACATCAATGGCTGGAAGTTTATCATCACTTGGCAATCTCTCTGGAAATACTGTCCGAGAAACAGTACGCCAACGATAAGCTTGTGCAAGGAGCCAGGAGAAAGAGAGAATCAATTCGGAGGCAAAGATTAGAAGCCATGGAAGTGTGGGTACGGTCCTGTTTTTGATTTCTTGGAAAAAGAAAGAAACCCTGTAGTATATCAAGAAAGCTATTGCTATCGAATGGAGGATTGCGTGTGATCTATTGATGATTATGGAGAAGTAGTGGACATGACAAAGATGGAGAGGAAGAGAATTATCCATGGCAATTCTTATTGCTTGCGCTTGATTTGCTTTAGCTCAAGAATCATATAAATCGAGTGCAACGAGTGCATATTTAATGGCTACAACCGTCTCTTTGGTGATAATTGGTTTTAGAGACATTGATAGAGAATTATGATTATGTGTTTTTTTTTTTTACAAGGATTAATGTTACGAATATTTATTTTTGAATTATAGTAGAATATTTAATATAATACTTGATTTTAAGAATCTTTAATATGATATATAAATTATGAATTTATTAATTAATATGATATTTGAAGAATTGTTTGTCTATTATGTATTATTATTTATTGGGAATGAATATTATATTAATTAATAGATTTATTTTTCATATATCACATTAAAAAATTTTAAATTTAAATATATTAAATATTTTACTATAATTTAAAGACTATTCGTAGCATTAGGCTGTCTTTTTTTAAGTTTGTGAAATAATTGCCACACAAATCACTATTCTATAATATTAACTAGTATTTATACTTATGTTTCACTTTGAAATAAATGAAAATATTTTAATGATAGATTATCAGTTAGTAAATTAAAGAAATAGTTGGTTAAATTAAAGAATAGTAACATAAATAAATAATATGCATATAGAGCATGATTATTAGTTAGAGAAGACTAAAAAACCCGTACCCGATGAGTTTTGACTTGACCCGACCTTTTAGGATCGAGTTTTTTTTTTTGAAAATTGGGTATCAGGTCAGGTCGGGTCAGGTGGCATGAAGAAAAAGTCGGGATCGGGTTTTAGGCAAATTCGATCCTACCCGATCCGATATATATATAAAAATAATTTTTTTAATTATTTATTTAATTTTATAATTATTTTTATATATTTTTATATATTTAATTTTATATTTATATTAAAAATAATATTTTATTAATTTCGGATCGGATCGGATATGATTTTATACAATGTCGGGCTGGATCGGGTTCGAGTATAAAAAATAATCGGATTGAGTCGAATTTGAGTTTGAATTCAAATTTTACATATTTAAAATCAGATCAGATTCGAGACGAGCAAAAACCCGTTATTATTAGTATAGTTACGAAGCAAGGTGATGCAAAGCTTGAAGGAGAATTATTTAATTGTACCATTAATATTTTATATTACAAATAGATAATATTTTAATTAAAAAGTATTAGCAAGTACATAAACTAAAATGGACAATATGAAATTTTACATGATAAAATCCAATGAAATCCAATTCTATCTTTTTTACCAAGCTCATATGTCAACCTCCATTCACGTAATAAAAGTTCTAAATTTTATTTTAAAGGCTCATTTATTTCTAATTATCTAATTATATAAACATTTTTATTTGATTTTATAGTTTACAACTAAAATAATTCTAATCCAACGAATAAAATGGAATGATATAATAAAATAAAAAATCAATCTTCACTTAACACATTACAAACCTTTCTTGCAAAGCTCATAGTGTAATATAAACATTTCTTGCAAAACCCAAATTTGAACAGCTTGTAACTTGTTTAGCCGGCTCAACAAATACCCAATTGATTTTTTCATTGACCTTTTCCCAAATTCACACAAACCAGCCAATTACTTTACGTCATTTGTCACTCATTTAACTTTTATTAGGTGTCAAACAAAAAGTCTTACAAGGACTGTTTTAATATATAGGTTAATATTCAGCTTATAACTTGTTTAGCCCGCTCAACAAATGTCTAATTGGCTTTTTCATTAACTTTATCCTAAATCTATACAAACCAATTAATTATTTTAAGTCATTTGTCAAACATTTTTTTCAATAAATTCTAGTAATATTTCGATAATATTTTAAATATTATTTTAGTAATATTCTAAATTGATTTGATATAAATTTAGAAAATATTATATTGATTTAGTTGATTATATAAATTGATTTAATCATTATTTCTATTTATTAACATTTTATCTATGTATAAATAGGTTTTAAGCTTCATTGTAAAATACAAGTAATTACAATAAAAGTTTTCATCATTTTCTTCTTTGCCATGGTACAGAGTGATTTCATAGTTTATTCCAAAGGTAAATCATATTGGAATAACTAATATTTTCTTATTCTTATTCTTGGTTGATTTTCTCCTTACTTCTATGCTTCATTTTTTTTTTGTTTCTTTTTTTATTTTTAAAATTTATCCTTTATATGAATACCCATAACTTATCATATCTCATTTCATTTTTTTAAAAGCTTAATGGTAAGTATTCAATGAGAAAATGTACAATCAATTTCAATTATCTTTGATAGAAATAACTTCGATCGATGGACTATAGCTATACGTAGTTATTTAAAAGGAATAAAGTTGTGACCTATTGTTACCAGTGAATGCAAAGTAACAGAAAAGAAAGAAAAGGAATCTATTGATAAATTTGCAAATTAACTAGAGGAATGGGAGAGTCAGAATTATCAAATTCTTACATAGTTCACTAACAATGTTGTTTTTTCTATCAGTGTACATTTTTTGTAATTTGACCTTACTAAAGATGCTTAAAATTTTTTTACCATATGATATAGCTCTATTACTCTTACTCATCAATATCATATACAGGAGAATAGGTTTATAGCGGCATGTTTTTCATATTTAGCAGTGTTTATAAATGTCATTAAACGATTTGCAATATTTGCTAAAAATGCATCTAAGAGCATAGACAATACCTACGTTGAGAAAAAAAAGCAATATTTTAGGAAAAATTTCATGTACAAACGTTGTTAAATTATAAAAATTAATGACATTTGTATTAAAAAATGTAGTTAAATTTAGTAGCATTTTTCACTACAAATGTCACTAAATTAAGAAATTTATTTTTTTTTTATTTCTTCCTATATTTACTACTATAATAAAATAAAAAATATTGAAACAACTAAAAAGGAATTTAAATTTACAAATTGAATATTATAAATATTTAAATGTCTAAATACATAATTTGTTCTAATATGCCTATAACACAAAGTTTAATACAATAACATTTCAATTATTTCAGTATATTAACCAGAAATTTAAAATGCATGAAATTGATGACAGCTTAGATTTGGACCTTTGCCATTTGATGAAATATTTTTTTCCACTATGATTATTAGCGTGTTCAAGAACCTATTGAATAAAGTAAAATAAATTTTTACACTTAATAATAAGCTATTTCTGATATTAAAAAAATATAAATAGTTACTAAATATAATACCTGAATTGGTAGACTACTTAGAGTGGTTATTTAAAATTGTTGCTGCATAAAATTCATAAGAGTGTCAAATTGATCATACAATTGTTGAAATCTTGCATGCTCCTAATCCATTCTAGCATACTCTTCTTCAATTCTAACATGGTCCTCTTCTCTTTTTGATTCTATTTGTTAGATATGTTGTTGTATAGTTTGCAACCCCTTTCTCAATATAGAGATATCTCATGAAAACTAACTTACTGAGAATGTAAATTGCTGAGTGCTACATCCATAGTAGCTAGATCGCATTAGACCTAATCCAATGCCTCAGACGCTTCTACGTCCTTCTTTTCTAGCAACTTCTATGAAAATCCAATCTTTCAATTCTTGCATTTTGATAGAATAATCGGATCGTGCTTCAATCTCAATGGCCAATTTCTTTTTTGCTTTCTCCCATAAATTAAAGCTATGAAATTTACTAATTAATTCATAATATATTTGAAATAGTAAATATTTACTTTCTGTATTAAATGAATCCAAAAAATTGCTATAATTTTTTTTGTTTTGACATTCAGTTAAGATCTATCTTTTTTCATGTAGGTTAATTGAAAATTTTCACATGTCTAATTTTTTTACCCAACTCAATCTCCTATACAAAAACATATATTATTGTTAAACACATATTAACCTTAACTTATTTATGCATATCAAGCGTGGTAATCAAGTTCAAACATTTGAACAAATTTAATATCATATAGTGGAGCTATATAAACTATTAAAATAAAACAATAACTGTAAATTTATATTTTTGTTTTTTGACATCACAAAAAATCCTAAATAGTTATAAACCGTAACTTATTCATATATATCAAGTATGGCAATCAAGTTCAAAATTTTAGGCAAATTTAATATCATGTATTTAAGCTATCTAAACTATTAAAATAAAAATATAACTATAAAATTACATTTTTACCCTTAACGACACAACAAGTGTTAAATAGACATAAAAGACAATCATTTCACACATGTTAATTATGGAAACCAAGTTCAATCATTTGGACAAATTTAAATATCTTATATTTAAGCTATTTAAACTGTTAAAATAGAAATATAACTGTAAAATTATATTTGTGCTTTTTAACAGCATAAAATATCCTAAACAGACATAAACGGTAACTTTTTCTCACATATTAATTGTCAACTAAGTTCAATGATTCGAACAAGTTTAATATCATGTATTGAAGCTATCCAAACTGTTACAATAGAGCAATAATTGCAAATATGTATTTTTGCCTTTTAATAGTATAAAAGTCCTAAACAGACATAAACAATAACCTTTTCACATATATTAATCATTGAAAACTAAATTCAATCATTCGAATAAGTTTAATATCATGTATTTAAGCTATCCAAACTATTAAAACATAAATATAATCGTAAAATTATATTTTTCCCTTTAATGGCACAAAAAGTCTTAAATAGGCACAAATATTAATTTTTCACACATATCAACCGTGAAAACCAAATTCAATCATTCGGACAAGTTTAATATCATATATTGAAACAATTACAAGTTTAATATCATGCATTAAATCCATCATTTTGGGGAGACGAATTATGAAAAAGTTGGTTATGAATGTTGAAAGTATCTTGCAACAAGCTTTCTATGTCATCTTGTCTAAAATGATTATGTTAGTGTTAGGGAGCCTTTGAAGTTAAAGGAGTTCTAGTCAATGATCTTGATGATACAAACTCTCTATGAAAATATTAATTAACATATCTGGAGAAAAATCCAATAAAAACTAAATATTCCAAAACA